CTGGCCATTTATTAGGCTCTAAATGCAGGAATGCCATGGTTAAGCTGACTTCCAGCCTGGTTCAAAACAGTACTTATGATGGGGAAGTGTATCTTTGAATGTTCTTTTAGTGGAAAAAGACTTTGGGTGAAAGTTGAGAAACCTACAGATTCTTATTTCTTTCCGGTAACTCGATAAAGTACAGCTAAAACCAAACCTATTCACTTTTCCTCACAGCCAAGAAAGTAGAAAGGTCAGAAGTGTCAGATAGTCTTCTTCTCTCTGGAAAATGCCACTCTGTTTTCATGAAGTGTGTATTCCTTTGCTTTCATAATCTGAGTAAATTTGGTCATGTCTGAGGTCTGATATGATCCTTGAGAGATTCAGTCTCAAGTTGGTTTGGTTTTGTTTCATTTTTGTTTTTTCAGTCAGTTGTGGGCTTGAACTAGGGGCTGAGTACCATCCATGAGCTCTTTTACTCAAGGCTAGCACTCTACCACTTTGACCCACAGCTCCACTTCCAGTTTTTGACTGGTTAATTGGAGATAAGTGTCTTATGGAGACTTTTCTGCCTGGGCTATCTTTGAAATGTGACCCTCAGATCTCAGCTTCCTGAGTAGCTAGGATTACAGGTGTGAGCCACTGGCACCTGGCTTCGTTTGCTTTCCTTTAAATGGGTGAAGCTCCTATCTTTGGGGGCCTTCTTTCCATTTTTCAAAGACAATAAAGGAAGCTAAGAGCTTTTGAGTCACTATTTAAATCCAGTGTTTTCTTTTCTTGAAGAGCATCAGATCCTTGTTAATTACAACTTAGACTACAAGTCTGTTAAAGTTAGTTGAGGTCATTTACTTTAACAAAATCTTCTTGTTTTATAGACAAGGATGCTTAAGCTCAAGAGGTTTAAAAACACTGGCCAAAGTCATTCAACTAATGAATGACAGGTCTCAGAGCAGTTTTCGGAGCACTATGTATCAAAGGAAAGAAGTTTGAGTTAATAATAATAATCCAAACCTAGGACGGTTTATGCAATCACTGACAATGAAAGTTGATTGCAGAGTTTCACTTAAGCTCTTTAAAAACACTATGTTTTAACACAAATGTCATTCTTTTATTCAGACCTGTTCTTAATAACTATGCATTGGAAGTATATTTTACAAAAGCCATAAATCTGGAATGGTGGAAAGGATATCCAGTTTTCCTTTCTAATTGATTTACTTCTCCTTTTGCTTAAACTGCCCAAACTAAAGCAAATATAGTTTATTTAAGGGACTGTTTATGGACTCTTAAAACTAAAAAGGACCCTAGAAACTCTCTTTCATTTGGTTATTCTTAATTGAAACCATCCAAGACAGTTGGTTGTCCATTAGCTCCTAAAATACCTCCAAGAAGAAAAATTCCACAAGCCTCTCAAGAACACATTAAAAGGGTAAAAATGGCCATGACTGTCAAAAACTTATACCCATGGCAAGCTGGTCTTCTCCCATTTTCTTTTACTTATTGCTGTGTTTTGTGCAAAATGAGGTTATAATGACACACCCTTGATAAGGGCTCCATCCATCTGGTAAGATAATAGCTAGGTCTCTCCCAACACACGTTCATCTCCATTATACCACTGTTTTCCTCAAGGACTATGGAAACACAAGGCTGGTTGATAGACTCTCTTACAATGATGCATAGGGAAGAATTGTAATTAGCTCTTCTCTGGATCTTTCATTTTATAAATTGTCTGGGGAAGTTGCATTAATTATGGATGAACTATACCACTTACGCTGGGAAGATGTTCACAAAACAGATCATCTACAAGGTTGTTTCTACTGTCCATCATTGGAATTTGGGCTTGAAGGGGAAGATGAGCTCATTTGTAAGATAGGGTTACTCCAGAAAACATAAGCACTACACTTTTTTTTTTAATTCCAGACGGTTTTAACAGCATTAAAACATCTTCTTGTTATGTAAGGCTCCATTGGCCAAAGGCAGAGGTGGAGGCAATTTTATTTCATATGTTTAAATTGAGAACCAGGATTGGAAAGTGCCTTACACTATTGAGAAAAAAAATTCTGAACTTCCAAAATAGTGTTGCTTAAAATAAAAGGCAAAGGCACAAGAAACCTTTGAAAATAAGGGTAAGAAACAATTAAGTGTCAACTGACAGGGCTTCTGAGTGAGAAAGAATGTTTGCTTCTAAGAAGTATTTTGAAAACTAAATGCTTAGAGCTGACTCCGCCCTCAACCCCTCCCTCGTGTGCCAGCCCCCCCCCCAACCCCCAGTAAATCTCAGGGGGATGAAAAGGAAACAATAACATTTGTTGACAACAATTCATGCCTGCAAGAATTATTGGCTCAGACACAAAACAGACTGTCATTATAGCTTGGGATGGCCAAAATATAGTCTCTAGGTTGTTGTTAGTATACATACATTATATTTAATTGAAAGAAAGAAAAGCAATTTTTATTAAGTAACTAGGCAGCATGCAGTAAGAAGTGTGGTCCAAAGTATTTGACAAACTAATTCTCAGTGAGTCTAAAGACCCTAAATAAGCAATTCCATCGAATTCAATTGGATCCTTTCAGCCATAAAAAAATGACTAGGCACTTAACTTGCCCCTGGGATTCAAAGGGAAATAGTCATGGCCTTTGGCACCACGCAGCCTGTTGAGAGGGCTCTGTTCATTTATGGCAAGGGAGAGCCTGGCAAAAATGATACAAAATATTTTAAGAAAGCAGTAAGGATCTAATCTTGCCTCCAAGGTTGTTTCATTCACCTGACACTTGGTAATGCATAGGTGTCTGTCTTTTTTACCCTTCCAGCTAAATTGTGGATCCCTTACAGGCAAGGTCAGACTCTCAAGTCACTTCTAGGCATCACCTTCATGTTTAGGACACACAGCAGTTGCTCCATGCATGTTTCGAAGTAAATTACAACCATTTAAAGGGGCTAAGCTCTCTTAGGTGAAAGGGGTTGGTTGCTCACTTGAAGAACTAGGTCAGAAGGGAGCAACCTGAGTGATAGAATTCTGTAAGGCAGAACATATGAAACATAACCTCTCAGCAACAATATTGACAACACATGGTTTACAGAACCACTTTCTATCCAAGATTATACTCTAAAAATCGAGAGCTGTTCTGTATAACAGTCTTTGTTCAACTTATAAAAATGAAATCTATATCCATTGCTAAATTTTAATCATGGTAGTGACCCAACAAAAGAATCTTCTCAGTGCCTTGACATTGGTTTCCATTATAATTAATTGTCCAATAATACTCTTTGGGTCTAAGTGTGGAGAAGTTATTTGGGACTAAAGTCATTCTTTCCATTCTAATTTCTCATCATCCAGTGCTAACATCATGGGTATAGAAGCATCCAGTTTCCATACACCATGCATGGAAATCCTGGAGCATGTCAGAATGATCATCACAATTCAACCTGGCACATAGCAGAAGGCATTTGCAGGCTTGGCAGTTACCTAGTGAACTGGATGGAAGGAAATTACACAAATGGATTACCAAGGCAGAAAAAGAAATCCTCTCAAGCATAAGGGAGAACCGCTTTCTTTCTTTCTTTCACAAAATGTGGATTGGTAACAGCAAATTATAAAACTATTACAACCTGTTGTTGAACCATATCCACATCCCACATTTACCTTCCATGGGATTCTTTAAAGGTATAACGTATTTGTTACCAGAAAAACATCTACCCAATGAATTCATTCATCTTCCTGTAACAGAAAGGTCTATTGCCAGAAAAACAAATGGATTCACTCAAGGAAAGCACTGGTGAGAGGCGTGGAATGGGAATTTGTTCATTCAAACATTAGCACTTTTGAGGCTCTGTAACTTGATACTACTATTATTTTGGCAAATCCATAGTACAGATCACCAGTTTCTCCATCTGCTGTCTCCTCATTGTCTCCCATCTTCATCACCTGACTGGCATATATACACACCCTTTACCTTAGTCTTACAAGCACACACACACACACACACACACACACACACACACACACACACACACCTGCCTAGAGAGAGGCTGGCATTTGGGAAGAAAATGGGAGAGACTTCAAGTGTGAGTCATTGCACAATCTATTTGGAGCTTCATAGGTAACTAAGTGAGCTGTCTTCACTTGAGTGACATAAACCGTTGTGAATGATTCATGCTCTATTTCTTGGAACTCTCTAATAGTTCAAAGAACTAGACAGAGGAAGCATCTGGCTTTAAGTTTTTCCCTGTCTTGTAGTATATAGTGAGACACATACCTGTGAGGTAGATTATTTAAGTGATCAATTCTCTTAGGTACTATTGCCTTTTGTTTGTGCTTATTGTGTGCAAGGATTGACTATGCTAACTGCTTGTCATTTATACTTGACTTTGCCATTGTCTGAGACCAACTTATGGGATAAATAGCTTGGATCTTGTCAACCACCCTTTTCCAGATGGAAAGAAGAGAAGAGCTATGTCAAAGGTAAGCAATGACCAAAACCAAAAAAAATCAGGGTCAACTTGTATAAAGGGTATGACATTTCAAAATGAATTTACAGAAATCTTGTATATTTGTAAACACATCTTTAAGCAAAGTTCATCTTCTGTCTGTTTATGGTGATTCCGTATTGCATGGTGATCTTGTGAATGTGTCCCCTTAATTCTTTTCCCAAGGGCACATTTCTAAAGTCCTTATTACTTCATTACAAGTGCTATAGCATGCAGAACAATCCTATGTTTCCTTTATACCCATAGAACTCAAACCCCAAATTCTCAATACCCCAGAGTCCCCATCCACCTGTTAGAAAACATTATAACAATATGAAGGAAGGATCAACAGAAAGCAGGCTAAGAAGAACATTAAGAAAGAGGATTCTATCCTCAATCTCCTGTTGAAGCCCCACTGAAAACTAAGCTTACATGAAGCCTTTCAGAGACTGGGGATGGCTGCCAGCCCCTGGCAGCCACTCAGCTCTTCACACACTCTCTACAGAGCCATGTACCTTAGAGTTTTAGCAGTGTAAGGAGAGGGAGAGCTACTCACTGAAATAAAAGCCCCGATCTCCACACACGAACTGAAGAGCATCCACCAGTTCAGCCCCACAGAGCGTCTCTGGTCCAGCTGTGGCACAGCTGGTGAAGGTGAGCAAGCAGAGGACCAGGTAGAAGAGATGTGAAGAGGTCATGAAGTGCATCTTGACCTGCAGAAGAAACAGAAGGAAGGTCAGACTTCTACAAAGCACATGAAGGACTACTTAGAGTCTGGGACTACTAAGCATGTCTTAGTATCAAACCGCCTGTGCTTAAACCCCTTGCTACTGGAACCTTAGAGAAAAGTCCTCCCAAACCTCTTCTTTATAGATTCCCTCTTGCAATGAAACAGGCTAAGAGCTCTTCAAACATGTACATGAAAGATATTATTTTGACAGTGGGATCACACACCACTCTGAGATCCTGGCACAATGTTTGAAATATCAAAGGTTAAATTGTGCTAAATGCAGGCTTGTAGCCAAATGTGTTTTGATAATTTAAATTCTCCAAAAAAATTGGCCTTCCACAGATGGCACATTCATTCATTATTGACCAGAATATTAAACTCTGAGTATCAGTCCCTGGATTCTGATTCATTAGCATTTTCAGTGACTAAAAAAGTACTTGTGAAAAATGTTATATCTTTATAGAGGAGTGGGGGGAGAATCAGAGACAGATGAGGAGAGATTGAGACAGAATCAGAGAGAGAGAGAGGAAGGGTGGGAGAGGGAGAGAGAGAAAGAGAGGGGGGCAGGCACAGATTTATTACCTGGGACTATCAGCAGTAACCCAACCGCGAATAGAAGGAAACAAATAAACCAAACAGAAATAGGAAGAAAATTGAGGATTTAGGAATTGACTTTTGTGGTCAGAACAGAAAGGTAGGATTCCTTTCCTCACCCAGCATAAGGGTCATAGCTTACACCTTATAAGGAGAGAAAGGTACAATACACTAATGAAAGTTGTATATGATGAGGGAGCCTTCAGGATGGAGATGTATGGACAGCTAGGTAAGAAATGTCACTGCACAAAATGATAGGATTTCATGCTAGTTGACTGAGCTGGGAAAGACAGGAAGTCTTTTCTGTTCTGACTCTTCTTGGTTCTTCTGTGTTCTGAGCATGGAGCAGGATCCTTGCTCCCCACCCCCCTCCCCGCCCCACCCAGAACAAGGATTGATTATATGCCCTACTAGCAGCCAAGATAGGTCAAGAATTTATTTTTATGGTTAGCTGCTTCACAGAAAGGCTGGGGGGGGGGGGCAGATTAAAGTCAGATTTATAGGATTTATGGCTGCCTATGAGAAAGAGAGTTTCTAGTTTCTAGGATCTACCTTAAGGGAAGAATGGCAGGTAGGAGAAAGGAAGGCAGGAAAGGGTTAGAGAGAAACTTTCCCTTTCAGTCTAAAGTACTTAGAATACTAAAGAACCACACTGTTAAGATATCACTTTCTGAGACTCCAACACTAAATCAATGGTACTGTTGAATTCGAAAGTCTCCAATCTTAAATAAACACTGGCAGAGAATCCCTTCCATGTATAAGACCCTAAGAGAAAAACTTGCAAAAGTATTTTCTTTTTAATCACAGGAATTCTGAATTCAGCTCTTGAAGGCATTTAGGTGTCATCAAATCCATTTTTAATAGCAAAATCTACCAATGGATCCATTGGTTAGCATGACTTAGTCAATGATCAAAGCCAAAAGACAGCTGTGTCTTGAGTCACAGGATTCCTCCGGCTGAAGTCTGTGCCCTCACCCTAAGAAGTAGAAAAGATGATCACTGTGATTTTCCATGTTGATACTTGTGACACCAAAATGTGATTTCTTCCAGGAAGGCTCCCAAGGTGATCAGCTCTGCTTGTAGAGATACGTGTGTGCTCATCAGCATTGGGAAGAGCCACAGATAGGCGGTCAGGTGAAAGACTCTTAAAAGAATTATAGAGTCATACCAGAGTCATAATTTTAGCAAAAGGCTCTCTTGAACCTCACTCATCCATTCAACTACATCACTTTTTTTTTGAGAAACAGACTCGCTTATTCACGTTCTGGCTACTCCCTCCATCCCAGGGGAACTCTCAATTTAATGGCTCTGTGCCACTGCTAAAGTTTACATCCTCATTTAAAACTAGATTTCTAATTTAGTGGCCAGATCTTCAGACCAGCAATTGGGTGAAAAGCTAAAGAGCAAGAAAACCTAACTCCCTGATTCTTGTTACCACAAGGTCAATATTTAGTCCATGCTTGCAAAACAGCTAAAGATGAAAAAAAACACCCTCTATTGTCAAATCATCATAAATAACAGACATAAAATAGAAGGGGAGGCAAAAGCTCAATTGAACATTTATCTAATTTTCTCTGTGCACCTTAGCCTAGAAAGTCTTTACCCCCCCTCCCCACCTAGCCCAAGCCACAAGGACTGCTAGGGGCAAAGGATCATCCAGTCCTTGTTTTTTTTCTAAGTAAGAAAAAGGAATAGGGAGTGTCTTCTTCAATATTTCCAGTGGAAATCAGAGCAAATTCAGTCTAACTGGGAATATTATGGGACTCTCTCTTTCCCTCTCTTTTTCTCCACCTTTCTCTTTGTTGATAACACTGAAGGACCAGCACCTGCCATGATAGATGCCTCTAAATTCTTCAGCTTTTGTGAAAACTCTAAGTTACACCCTGTGTGAACTTAGAACTTCATGAAATGTCAAAGCTGTGCCATTCACAATTATTTCTGGCATAACACATTTAAGACCAACAATGCACATCAACCTCTAGCATTTAATATTATTTCCATAGTTTTTCTATTTCTTCTCCCCATCCCCCCCACCACTACAGAATTACATTGTCAGATCAATATCAGTACTTATAACTCTAGAACATAACAGAATCTCTGGTACATGTTCTTTTAACTCAGAAAAACAGTTCAGCACACCCATAGAAAATCAGAGAATTTATCACATTATGCTACCAAACCAGAAAACAATAACCAACAAACTTGCTGAGAGGTTAAAACTTGAATGCAAGTGGTCCCATAGACTCATGAATCCCTTGGCCTTTTCTTTGGCCAACCACAAAAGAAACAAATCAAGAAAAAAAAGGAAAGATAGGATAGAGAAGAAAGAAGAAAGAGCCCAAGAGAAGAGGTGGGGAGAACTCCAAATCACCTCAGAACTCTCCTCCTCCAGAGAACTATTCACAAATCCACATTTCAAAGACCTCTCTTTTAATCTTAAATACATGGTATATTAATTGATTCCAGGTATCTGGGTCATCATGCAAATGACCAGTTAACATGGAAGGAGAATAGTCATAGGAAAATACTCACTGGAGGTGTGATCATTTGTGTTTGTTCCAGGTCTTTTACAGCAGGTCAGGGTGGGTATTATGAGGCTGATGTAAAGAGAAAACTGAAGACTTAAAACACATGTGCTGCTTTGTGGGTGGGGTTTGGGAGAGCATCTAGTTACATTTGGACACCCAGGCAGGTAGGCTAGGAGCCTTTTGTCCATTCAGACAATGAGCAAATCACACCGCTGCCAGTGCAGACAATCTTTTTCCTTCTGTCAAGACACCAATTTCTATTGTGTGCCGCTTGTAGCTGTCCTGAATAGTGAACAGTGATCTAAGTCCCGGGCTTCTCTTTCCTTCCCTCCTGCCCTCCCTTCCTGCATTCTCCCTGTTCAAGCTCCAAGAAACAGAGCTGAGATTTCCCAATATCATCAGGGCCCCTGGGCAGGACCCCCTCGGCTCACTGGTATACACTGGAAAGACCACACATCTCTCTGCAATCACTTCCTGCTGCAAGTCCAGGAAAAAGTTAAGGACACTTTGCTAGCTGAGCTTCTGAAAATGTTTGGCAGACATAGCCTGCAAAGTTCATTGGGAGACAGTTTTTGCCCATCTTTGAATGAACTGGAGATTGCCTCCTGCCATCTCTTTGATGATCATCTAAAAAGAGGGGCAAAACAACAACAAACAAACAAAACCCCGCCAGTTCCCAGACAACAGAGGGTACATGAGACGCTGACTTCATTTCTGTGAGAGCCAGGGGGCCCTCGGGTGCCAGTATCTCAAGGACAGCAGAGTCAGGTGCCTCACAACGCTGTAACCTAAACTCCCAAGCTACTTACTGGACTAAGAAAAGTCTTAGCCGTGAAACATTTTGAAAAGCGCAACTGAATTCTGCTGTCAGTGACCGGGAGCTTTTATGAATTGAGCCCTCTGGCAATCCCCTCCAAGGAGCCCAGTGACAGCGGCTTAAAAAGTGCTTGCAAATTGAAAAAACACAAGTCTTGCAGGATATAATTTTGCTGAGAATGGAAACTTGAACTGGGGCCAGTGATCAGAAAGGAGAAGTCGGGTGCATTGACAACAGCAGCCAATTTTTACCTAAAAAGATTTGACAACTCTGAGGATTAAAAAAAATCAAGATTTTACAACACACAACTCCGAATCCAAACTTTACCCCGAAAGTCCTCTTCCAATGAGAAAAGTTAGATAAGCATCTGCTAGAAACTTTCTAGCGTTCCATAGGCAGCATGCAGTTGTTTAAATCATACAGCTAGTCAGGACAGTAAGAGTTGTTAGAGAGTGCTTTTTCTGAAGAGCAAATTAAACGTCACTCCAACTTTGATCCTCTGAACACAAAAGTGTAGTGAGTTCTGGATCCTTAGTTCCAAAGGCTGTGTTTGTAAAATCTTTCATATCATCTAACATATAACACTTCAACTATGGCATGCCTTGTAAAGGAAAGTCTTGACAGATTGTGCACGCGCTTGTCCACACACACACACACACACACACACACACACACACACACACACACACACATGTGATCTTAAAAAATTAAACATCTGCACCTGCAAAATCCCAAAGTTTATATCCATGTTCTATAGCCCTTAACCATAGTCAAGACTTAAAGGAATTTTCTGTCACATACCACCAAAGCTAGGCAGAAGTAAAGGAATTAACTTAAGTACCTTGCAGTAATTTCTGCTCATAGAGGTATCTGTACAAAGGCAGCTAGCTTATTTTGTCCGATTTCCCCCAGAAATGCACATTCAGCAATTTAGAAATAACTTCCAGTTCTGAAACAATGAAAATCCTAAAGTGCATAACGGTTGTAAGCAGGAGAAAAAAAAAGAGTATATACCATCTGAAGAAAATTCCCTCCCATCACTTCAAAGAAGAAGAAATATTTACCTTCAAGCAATCACAGAAGCAGCACTTAAATAATTGAGTTGGAGGACTGCTGGTTTTTCCCATGGCTTCTGAAGTACAAAGTCTGGAAATGAATTGCTTAGCAGAAACAATGAAGCAAAAAAAAATTAAAAAGAAAGAAAAAAAAGAAAAGAAAAGAAAAAAGGAGAAAAAAAGAAATCCAGAGAGATGGGAGATGTTGAGAGCAATGTCACATTTCAATTGAAGACTTCATTCCATTGCACAGGCTCTATCAGCTCTGAATTTAGCAGTGACAGTGGGATTTAGCAAAGAGAAGGAGGATTTAGAGAAAATCCTCACATTTATCTACAAAACACAGACACTGTAGACAGGAAACAGCTGGGGGAATATTTGCCTTCTCTCTCTCTCCCTCTTCTGGCAAAGTTATCGAGTAAGGACTTTTTTGGGCATGGTGACAAATAACATCATACCTTTGCATTTTAAAACTGGAGCACAGAAGCATTTTTATTTTTCCCCTTTAAAAAATGAGCATTAGTGACACGGAGAGCGGACATTAAAATATTTAGGCTGCCATAGAAAATTATGATCTGTTCTCTGATTAACTTTCTATCCAGTGAGACACATGCATCTGCTAATGCACCTTTTCAGAATCAAAGTCATAGGAATGGGCTAGGGGAGCAATTATATTTTAGAGCAAATGCAAAATTTTATTAAGAAAAGAAAACAACAAAGAAAGAAAAGAAACAAAGACTATCGCTAGCAAACCCTACAAGTTTAACCCTGAAGTGACTGGATTGAATGAGGTTGGAAGCCAGCCCTCAGCTGACCCCTTGTCCTACTTGCCAACTTGAAAGGAATGATCTAATTTCCTAGAACTTACAGCAGTGGATGGGCTTCTTTTTACATACTGGCTCTTGCTTTATGCCAGAGACAAGGCAAAGATTTGCTGAGCTGTAAAACCAACTGAAAAATAAAATCCTTGAACAAAATCCTTCTACTAGGCTGGCTGTCCATCACCTCCACAGACCCCAGGGAAAGCACCAGAGGAGGGCAAGCTATTCTCCTATTATATTTTTCTGGATAATCAGTGTGTGTGTGTGTGTGTGTGTGTGTGTGTGTGTGTGTGTGTGTGTGTTTTCTCTCTCCAATTCTGTGTATCCTAAATAACACCAGCTGGCTAGCAATACCCTCTCCAGGGTTATGATGTCATTCAAATCCCTCAATTGGGTAAGTGACCCACAATATGGTCCAAGCCAGCTGTTTTGCTATTTATAATGTATACTTGCCTTTGCTACGGAGAATCAAGTTCTGATTTTTATTTATTTTGTCAATACAATTTGTACCTGTCTCTTTTTGGGTTTTCGAGGCAGTAGATAAGACAGTAGATTGGGAAATAAATATTGCAAAAGCCCAGGTTAGATGTAGCACTTTTCCTGGCTGTCTTTCTAGGCATGCTTTCCCAGGGGGTAGGGGGCAGGGAGGGGGGAGACTGGACCTTGCCTCTCGTGATTATCAGAGGATGTGAGGATACTGATGTGTCAGCTGAACGCAGGACTCTGCTGGAAACCTTACTCTACCTCCTCATGTTTTCCCAGGGCCAGAAATGTGTTTACAAAGGTGGATGTCCTCAAAGCAAAACCTTTTTGGTTTTGCAAGGGATGGGGGGGGGGCGAGGAACTAGGTTTTGTCCAGTCTTCTATGTAGATAATCCCACATAGCAGTGAAATAAAAGTCAGAAATCTGGAATTGTACTGCCTTCCAGGGCATTAGCTTCATTTTGTGAGCACCTACTGTGTGCTTAGCTGTACACATCTCTTGAGAAACAGAGACAAGACAGAAAGACAAGAAGATGTCATTGTCATGTGACTCTTTTTAAATAAATGAGAGTAGGAGGGGACAACAAATTCTCTGGGAAGGCAGGGAAGTGAAACCTTTTGGTTTTTCCTTCAAAAATCCAGAATGGCTGAATGCTGGTGGCTCATTTCTGTAATCCTAGCTAATCCGAAGGCTGAGATCTAAAGATCTTCATCGGAAGCCAGCCCAGGCAAGAAACTCTGTGAGACTCTTATCTCCCATTCACCACCCAAAAGCCAGAAGGGGAGCTTCTGTGGCTCAAGTGGTAAAGTGCTAGTCTTGAGCAAAACAGCTATAGACAGTGCTCAAGCCCTGAGCTCAAGCCCCAGGATGGGTACCCCCCCACACATATGCGCGCGCGCGTGCGCACACACACACACACACACACACACACACACACACACGGGAAGAAGGACTATGTGTTGAGAGGCTTGGAGTGTGAAGTTGGAGAGTTTCCGTGGATCAGATCTGACCCAAGGAACACACTAAGTGCATCACCAAAGCAGTAACCCCATGGCCATCTGCTGTTGGGCAAGTGTTCCTTGGCACAAAATAATGTAAAGCTTCCTTTCACAGGCTTGTCTTGCGTACTTGATTTATGACTGAATTTACCCCATGTCTTTTTCCTTTTTTTTGTAGCTCTTATGGATTATGCCTTTTGTTAAACAAACACAAAACAGTCCAACCTCCTCTTAGGCACTTTAATGATGTAGATGATATGGAACCCCAAACTTGATCTCGCCTCTCTCTCCCAGGTGAGAAAGGACCTTGGTTTGTAAGCTCAGAGAGTCAGTTTTGAGTCTTGGTGATGAATTCAGCAGCAGGTGAGCCAGCACTTTGCCCTATACCTTTCTCTTGCAGTTGAGGCTTACTTGAATGGTTCCAACACATTTTAAGAGGCTCATTTCATATCTCCATGTTTGCAACCTCCTGGGATGCTTTCCTGGCATGTACTCTGCATAGATTACCTTACACTCAATCATATCATCTGAGAAGCTGCACTGTGGACAGAGCACATAGCAGTCCATCCGTCATTACATCTCCTGCAATACCAACCTACCCACTCTCTCGGTTTTATAACCCCAATTACCCTTATGGCTAATTGAGTTTTAATTTAGGCCCCAGTGTTTATGTCACAATCAAAGAAAAGTGACATTTCCGTGAGTCATAATTGTCATTGCCTGTGCTATGGAAATATTTTGAGGTGAGCTCTCAGTTTCCAATAGGGGAAACAAGTTTTGGAGGGGTGATAAATGTCTATTTCAATTTGGAGATTGAGAAAATTGTCTGCATTTCACAGGAAGACAAGATGGTAATGGACCAGAGCAGTAACTTCTAGGAGTCTATTTGAAAATGAGCAGACAGTAAGTGTACCACATTATTATTTGTGTGTGTGTGTGTGTGTGTGTGTGTGTGTGTGTGCATGTGTGAGTGCAGTACTAGGGCTTGAACCAGAACTAGCCTGCTCTCCCTTAACTTTTTCTTGAAAAAATACTCTATTGCTTGAGGCACATCTCCACTTCTGGCTTTTTGCTGGCTAATTGGAGATAAGAATCTTATAAGTTTTTCCTGCCCCGGCTGGCTTCAAACCATGATCCTCAGCTCTCAGCCTCCCAAATAGCTAGGATTGAGGTACCAGTGTTCAGCCCATTATTACCTCTTCTTTTTTTTTAATCGTGAAAACACCGTACAGAGGGGTTACAATGACATGAGCAAGGTAATGAGTACATTTCTTATCAAGTATTGTTGCCTCTCCCATCCCTTCCCATCTCCCCCTCCGCCCCCTCCCCCCCAAAGTTGTAAAGTTTTTCAACATAACAACTTGTACATCTCATTGTTGCAATGGGTCCACCCCAAGATAAGTATTCAAATGTATTTTCTTTCATGCGATTGTTTCTAACACATATATAAGATGATTTCTTTGTTGCTTTGTATGTCCCTCCCCCATGGTATAACCCCTGCTTTCATTGTATTTGATGTTGCTATAATTTGTGGAGGGGAAGGGAAAAAACAAATGGTTTAAATAGGGATACAGGTGGACCCATTATTACATCTTAATGACTGAGTGGCTCTATTTCTAGAGTCTTGTATGGTGGTAGTAAATCTAATGTTCAGGAAAAGTCCAGGTCTGGAAACCTCATTGGAGAGAAATATCCAGGGTAATTCTAAAATTACTGAGCGCTTATGCAGTCTCCTGTCTGGAAAGAAAAAGAAAGAAAAGAAAATCTGACAGTTAGATATAGGAACTGTGTGTCACAAAAATAGCTACCTGCAAGAATGCACTCATCATGGGAGATTCAGAGGTTCACAGGTTCACCCTTTGCATGTGTAATGCCTATGGGATATAAATAACTCTCCCCTAAAGCCTTCCACTTGTGTTGTAGAGCCGATCTGCATAAAGCTACAGCTTCAGAAGACTTCTGACACCTTTTTAAAAGAAATAAAAATAAACGGAAACGGTTCATTTCCAGAAAAGGGCAGGCTGGCTGAGGTGCATAGAAAGGGTGAGGAGAAAGGCCCAGTAAGCCCCTCTTTTTGCTCTAGCCAGGCTCCATCTTCCTAGGTCCCGTGGAGAGGAGCTCACCCGAAAGTCATGGGCAACAGGGCACAGCCACAATTTATGTCCTTCATGCCTTTGTTGACCCTGGACAAAGAGCACCGAGTGGAGATTGGGAGGTGAAAGACCTTAGGAATCTCACACAGGGTACAGGCTCAAGACAAAGCACTTGAGGGGACCTCTCCACTGTTTGTCTTGGATCTTGATTTGTGGCGAGGGTCGTTCCAGGAGTGCATTCTCCAGTGTTTGAGGTGAAGAGCTTGTTGATGCAGAATGTAAAGCTTGAAGGAAAAGACTGTATCTGTCCCCCATACTCCGCCCCCCCATGCGACTTATTACAGAGCAAAGGGGTGTACTGTGAGCTTCAGAGAATCTCTTCAGAAGGCTTCTGCTATTCTCAAAGGAGCTGCTCTAACTGCTTAAGGGAATAATTTTCCCCACCGCCAGGGAAAAATGAGAGTAAGGAGGAGAAATCCTGTCTCTCTAAAGAAATCAGTGCTTTCTTTTCAACATCAAATTTGGATCCTATTTCTTCTAAAATGTCAAAAGGACAAATGCTGGAAACAGAAACGAAATTGTTGTGGTTTTGTGAGCAAAGGAAATTCTTCGTGATGGCAAGAGGAGGAGGCACTGCATGGGGCAAGGATGAGAACTTGAGAGCTCACCACAGTTACCCCA